AATCTTCGTGGAAGATGTTGGGAGAAACAGCATTTCTTCAAGGGCATTTGCAAAGGGCTTCAGTTAACAGAGGGCCTACAAAACCATTACCCATGAAATCCCTTCAGCACCCCCTAATGAAGATCCCCTGTGGACAGACCAAGAAAAGGGCTCCAAGAAGGAAAAGATGCACCCAAGGTAACACAGCTGGAAGGTAAAGGAGCCCACATTCAAACACAGATCTGTCCGTCCAGTGCATATGCAGTTGAGGCCATGCAGAAGCAGAGGTTGGATCCACTGCATTTCAGAGAAACCGTTCATTTACTCAACAAAAATGGAACCAGGTGTTTCATGTCTGCTATATGCCAGGCCCTGACCTAGACTCTGATAGCACAGAGATTTGTTTGCCATTCACCACAGGTTTATTTAACACTTACTCTCCTCTAGGAACTGGGTGAGGCACTGGGGCTACAATGGAGGACAAACAGGCATGATCCCTGCTCTCAGCTTCCCTGCTCTCAGATTCTTTTGCAAATAAGGGGAAACAGTTATTTATCCTAAAATGAAGGTAGCATAGTACCTTCTGAGGGGAGGTCCACAGAGCTGATAACATGAATTTGAGTTAATCTGGGGAATCCAAGAAGGTTTCCCTAAAGAAGTGAAGCTTGTACTAAAATCTAAAGAAGAAGTAAAGAAGATGAGGAGGGAAAGAAAAGGCATCCAAGTAATTAAAACAGCATGTGCAAAGGCCCTGTGGTAGGACGCACCAAGGACCCAAAGGCAACCCTTTTGGCTGGACTAGAGAGATCAAGTAGTGCCATGCAAAGTGACAATGAAAAAGGAGACAATGGCCAGGTGTGGTGGCTCATGCCTGTAATCCCAGCACTTTGGGAGGCCGAGGCGGGTGGATCACCTGAGGTCAGGAATTCGAGACCGGCCTGGCCAACATGGTGAAACCCCGTTTCTACTAAAAATACAAAAAATTAGCCGGGCGTGGTGGTGTGCACCTGTAATCCTAGCTACTCAGGAGGGCAAGGCAGGAGAATTGCTTGAACCCAGAAGGTGAAGGTTGCAGTGAGCCAAGCTCATGCCATTGTACTCCAGCCTGGGCAACAAGAACAAAACTCCATCTAAGAAAAAAGAAAAAGGAGACAATGAAAACCCATCCAGGTAAGGATCTGGTCTTTACCCTAAGGCAATGAGAAATCCTCAAAGAATTCTAAGAAAGACTGAAATGATTAGCTTCACCCTCTGGCAATCAAATAAGAGTAAGAGAGGTATAAAGAAGTAATCAAAACCAAAAAGATACACCTGAGACAGAATAAATTCAGGTAGCTGCGCAGTCACCTAATGCAATTAGAGGGAGAGGAGCTTCTTAGAGGAGATACTCTAAATAAAATATTTTTTAAGCCCATCACAAAATCCTGAATCTGAAAGGTTCAAACTGGCTCCTTCCAACACAGGTGCAGGCCCATTTCAGAGATGAGGTCCAGGGACCCCAGTCTCACGGTGGCGGACTAGAGACCAGAAGCCACAGGACTCTCTGTGACTCCTTGCACAGTGCTTACAGGTTTGCCTGGCTGGATTAAATTATTAATTTGTCCCTAAGCCTCAGCAACAAGCCAGAGGCTAAACGGGCCTGATGCAGGCAGAACCCTGGGCTCATCCCAGAGTCCCCAGAGTCTCTAACCCACCAGGGTGGGAGGTGAGACAGGTCTGGGGAGCTGGAAGCCTGTGCTTCTCCCCCAGAGAATCTCCTACTCCCAGCTGGAGAGCCCCCCACAAAGCCATCTAAGCAGCCCCGGGGGAGGTATTCAGGTAAGAGGACTCCAGGGAGCCCTCTGAGTAATTTTCAAGGAGGGCTGAGGCCAGTGAGAAAAGGGATTATTAGCTCTGCTCTCTGGAGGGAAGTTGATGGAGACAAGTCAGTGAGTGGGTTACTCAAGGGAAGGGGCATTATAGTCCCTTTCCTTCTAAGCAGAGGACATTCATGATGCCTGGGGATTCAGACAGAGACCTGCTGAGGAAACAACCACAGCGGTGATAATAGCTCAATAAAAATAAATCGATACGAAGCACTCTTACAACTCAACAACTAAAAGACAAACAATCCCACTTTTTTAATGGACAGAGGACCTGAAGAGACATTTCTCCAAAGAAGATATGCAAACGGCCAACAAACACATGAAAAAATGCTCAATGTCATTCATCAGAAAAATGGAAATCAAAACCACAGTAAAATCTCACTTCACATCCCTATGAATGGCTATAATTTTAAAAAAAAAAAAAAACAGATAACAGCAAGTATTCTCAAGGATGTGGAAAAATTTGAACCTTTATACACTGCTGGTAGAAATGTAAAATGATGCAGCCACTTTAAAAGATGGTTGACAGTTTCTCAATGACTTAAACCTACCAGCAATTCACCGTGTGTGGGTGTGTGTGTGTAGGTATACACCCAGAAGAACTAAACACGAGTGTTCAAATAGATACTAGTACACCAATGTTCATGGCAGCATTATTCACAGTGCCCAAAAGTTGGAAACAACTCCAGTATCCATCAACAGATGAGTGGATAATCAAAATGTGATATATACATTCAATGAAATATTATTTAGCCATAAAAATGAATGAAATACCGATACATGCGACAACATGGATGAACCTTGAAAACATGCTAAGTGAAAGAAGCTAAGCGCCTATTGTACGATTCCATTTATATGAAATACCCAGAATAGTCAAATTGATAGAGACAGAAAGCTGATTAGTGGTTGCCCAGGTTTTTGGGGAAGGAGGCAAGGGGCAGTGACTGCTAATAGTTGTGGGATCTCCTTTCAGGGTAATGAAAATGTTCTGGAACCAGATAGTGATGATGCTTATACAACCTTGTGAATGGACTAAAGGCCACTGAATTGTCCACTTTGGAAAGGTCAAAATGGCAAATTTTAGGTTATGTGTCTTTTACCACAACTCTTAAAATCTAGTAACATAAATAGATGGATTGGGAAACCTCCCAGTAGCACCTCAGCACACCCAGGATAAAATCCAAAAGACAAGCTCTTACCTACAAGGCCCCACATGAGTTTTCCTCCCCTCTCTCATTCAGCAACTTGCTGATCTTTGAACACATCAAGTAAGATCCCACTTCAGGGCCTTTGCTCCTTCTGTTTCCCTCTACCTAGCAGGCCAGGTCTCCACTCGGTTCATTCCATCTACCTCACATAGGCCATGGCAGATAGACTCAAAGGGGCTCCCAATGTCCCCCACCTCTCAGTATTTACCCATTTGTATAACCTCCACCCTTACATATGGGCAGGACCAAGAACTTGCTTCTAATCAATAGAATACAGTAAAGAGGACCCAGCACGGTGACTCATGCCTGTAATCCCAGCACTCTGGGAGGCTGAGGCAGGCAGATCACTTGAGGTCGGGAGTTTGAGACCAGTCTGGCCAGCATGGTGAACCCTGCCTCTACAAAAATACAAAAAAATTAGCCCAGTGTGGTGATACCTGCCTGTAATCCCAGTTACTCAGGAGGCTGAGGCAGGAGAATCTCTCGAACCCAGGAGGTGGAGGTTGCAGTGAGCCATGATTGTACCAGTGCACTCCAGCCTGGGTGGCACAGCGAGACTCCAGCAAAAAAAAAAAAAAAAAAAAAAAAAAACAGAGAAAAGAATACAATAAAGGGGACAGGAGGCCATGCTCATGCTCTCATGACTACATCATATAAGACTATAATTAATGCCCATCTTGCTAGGAGACTCTCCTTGCTGACTTTAATGCAGCAAGCAGCCACACTGGGGTGGGCCATGTGGCAGTAGCCGCTGGCCAACAACCAACTAGGCAGTGAGGGCTGCTTCCATCTTACAGCCAGCAAGAAACTGAGGCCCTCAGTCTTACAGCCCACAAGGAACTGAATTCTGCCAACAACCCCATGAGTTTGGAAGTGGATCCTTCCCCAGTTGAGTTTCGAGTGAGACTGCGGCCCCAGCCAACACGTTGACTACAGGTTTCAGATGAGATTCTGAAGCAGAGGACACAGCCTAGGTTCTTGGCCCCCACACACTGTAAGATAATAAATACATGGTGATTTAAGTTTGTGGCCATTTGTTATGTGGTGTTGGTCATGGGTCCCTGTTCAAATGTCACCTCCTTAGAGAAGCCTTTTCTGAGTTCCCTTTCTAAAACAGAATGTGTCTGACACAGAAAGATAAATACTGCATGATCTCACCTATATTTGGAACCTAAAAGAGTCAAAGCATAGAGACATAGACTAAAATATGGTTGCCAGGGGTTGGAGGGACAGTGAAATGAGATGTTGGTCAAAGGGTACAAAGTTTCAATTAAACAAGATGGATGAATTCCGGAGATCTAATGTATGGCAAAATGACTACAGTTAATAATATTATATATTTGAAATTCGCTAAGAGGGTAGGTTTCACCACAAAAAAAAAATAAAAAATAAAAAAGACAATTATGTGAGGCGATGAACGTGTCAAATAGCTTGACTATAAGGATCATTTTACACCATATATGTATATTACAGTATCAAGTTGCACCCCTTAAACTTTACCCAATTATATTTGGGTATTGGTCAATCTATTTGTCAATTATGTCCAAATAAAATAGAATCTGTTCCACCATTACTTTCTACAGTTAATCCTGACTTTTTCTCCATATCCTTTACTGCGACCTGACTCATTATATATTTATTTACAAATATATAATCTTGAGAGCAAGGACCTAGTCTGTCTGGTCATCTCTGCATCTCCAGTGCCTCTCATGGAACTTGGCACATAGCAGAAATTCACTAAATAAGGAATGACTGAACAATCAGCCATCTTTATGTAGGCTTCACTATGGGCACTTGCCTTAGTTGTCCTCACCATGACTCAACAAACTGGTATTTTTATTCCCATTTTATGAATGTAAAAAGTGAGGCTCAATGGTAAAGAATGACACACCCAGGCTTATATAGCTGGTAAATGGCAGAACCAACAATTAAATCCAGGTAGTCTCACCCAAAGGTCCATGTTCTTAACTGTCATGCAGGCAACCTCAGATGGTCAGCAGCACTTTTGTTCCCATTTTCTTCTTCTATGAAGGGGGTACTTTTATCCATCCTGGGTCAGTGGCAGGAGGGACTCTCCCCATCCCTTTCTCCCGGCCCTGCTGTCTGTGGACAGGAGCAGGTAAAGATCTTCAGACACCTTAAGCTTAGAAAAGATGAGGGAGCCATCTCTGCAATCCCCTATGTAAACTGAAATTAAAACAATGCAAAACCGTAAAACACGAAATATGTGTGCATGCTGATATTAAAGGAACTCTTTTCTAGATTTCCTGATACTGGTTGTTGAAATGCAACCGTTTTCATCCCTTTCATGACCTGCCTCTCCTGGGGCTCTAAGCCTATCCTTAGCTGGCCTCCTGGAGGAGCTAGGTCTACCTATGGAATTTTGAGTAAAGAAGGGAATGAGGGAAAGATAGAATACCCCCGGCAAAGAGAACAGCATGGATGTGCACAGGCCCTGGGGTAGAAATAATTATGGCAGAGACAAGGGACTGGAAGAGGAGTCTTAGACATCTGCAAAGTGTAGACACACTATAGGCTAGACACTGCACTTTTACTTAGCCGTTCCACCTAATCTTCACCAGACCCCCATAAGGTAACTACAACTGTCAACGCACTTCTACAGATGAGCAAACACACACAGAGAAAGGCAACACGCCTTGCTCTTTTGGTCATCTTAGGCTACATCATGTAGTGCTAACAGATGCCTTCAAAGGTCTCCGTGGCTTAGATAGCAACCATTCATTCCTCTGGAATGCGACACACCCTTGTAGCTCTGTTTCTGCTCTGCCCCCTCCTCCCTTCATTCCAGGATGAAGGTTAAAGAAGCAACCCCCTTATGGAAATCTGATGGTCTCGAGGCCAAGATGAAAAGGGAAGGTGAGGCACAACACTTGGGAAATAGTAAAAATTACCCATAGCATCACAAAAAGGGAAGGGAAAAGGTGACCACACAAGGGTTCTTACAGTGTCTGCCAAAAAGTGGCACATATATCATCTCCACTGACTCATCCCATTGGCTGAAAGTCACCAGGCCAACATGAAACCAGCTGGGTAGGGATAGGAAATCTCCTGTAGAGATGACCATATCGGGAAGGGTCCCCATAAGGTCATATAGTTCAGAAATAGCCAGACAAGAATTCAAACCAAGGTGGATTTTTTCCACACATACATACATCCCCTGCTCCATTCCATCCCCTGGGCTATGCACCTTGGAGAACTCTGTGTCCTTAATAACAGTAAAACTCTGTCCTTCCAAATCATGCCCTGGAAAGAGGAAGCTCCAGCAAAGGAGCAGCAGCTGGGCTAAAAAGATAAGCTGCCTTCCCAAAATGCACCATGCCCCTGGGATCTTATGTATCCTTCAAAACGCAGCTCAAAAGGATGCTGCATTTCCAGGCTCCCCCAACTGAGCAGAAATCTCCCTCCCACATGCCCACCAATGAGCACTGTACGTTCCTCTCTCAAAGCTCCTGTTCCCCTCCACTGCACGATAATCTGTATACAGGTCTGTTTCTCTTATCAGACTGTGAATAACATGAGGACATAAGAATGGCATCTTAGCCAGGCATGGTGGCTCACACCTGTAATCTCAGCACTTCGGGAGGCCAAGGCAAGCAAACTACCTGAGGTCAGGAGTTCAAGACCAGCTGGCCAACATGATGAAACGCCATCTCTACTAAAAATATAAAAATTAGCCAGGTATGGTCGTGGGCTCCAGTAATCCCAACTACTAGGGAGGGTAAGGCAGGAGAATAGTTTGAACTCGGGAGGCAGAGATTGCAGTGAGCCGAGATCATGCCACTCCACTCCAGCCAGCCTGGGAAACAGAGGGAGAATCTGGAATCTGTCTCAAAAAAAAAAAAAAAAAAAGAACGAACGAACGAAAAGAAAAGAATGGAATCTCATTCTGCTCTGAACACAGTGCCTAGATGGAGACACGCAGTAAAAGTCTGATGAATAAATAGATTGGCCAGTGGATATATATGGGTGGATGAAGGTGGACAGGGTGGAAGTCAAGTTTTGGAATTGAATTACAATCCCAGCTTTGCCACTTGCTAGCTGTGTGACTCTGGTTTATTTACTTAACCTCTCTGGACCTTTACAAAATAGAAACATAAGTGTGTCTCTCACTGGATTGTTAGATTGTCAGGAAATGGAAGGGTGCATGGTATGATCTGACTTTAAAGAGACTTGAATTTGAATCTGAACTCTGACACTACAAGGTGTGTGACTCTAAGAAGTTATTTGTGCAGCATATCATCTACTTACCCCTCCTCATCTACTCTCCATCCTCCTCCAACCTGACCACTCCCTAAGAAGTTGGTCTCTATTGACTGCATAAATAGGCTGTGTCCCTTCCTCCAGCCTCTTGTTAAGATCGGCCAGTGGAGAGCAACCACAGAAGATGAAAGGGAGGAAGGAAACTGAGGTCAATCTATTTATTCCTCTATCTCCCTCTTTGCCAAGTCACCAGGGACTAGCTGTGTCCTTCAACCAAAGGTCCCAGCTTCTACTAGGCAGCCCTCTCCGTCTGTGTCTCCCAGCTCCTCATCTATTCAGAACCAGGGGTGGTAATCAAGTCCCACCATTGCTATCCCGAGGGAACTGCACTATTCCTGGTGGCTTCCCACATCCTGTCTTTGGAGGGCAGAAAACTCAACTGGTCACCAAGATTCTAGCTCCCTGGTGAACACATCCTGAACAGTCCCCTCCCCTTGAATGTGGCCTGAACTTGCAAATATGATGGCATTTCATACTGTCTTAGGTTGACTTCAAGTTAATCAAAACGAAGATTATCCTGGGTGGGCCTGGTCTAATCAGGTGACCCTGAGAAGTCAGAGAGATTTCAAGTGAGAGACAACCATTTGCTGGCCTTGAAGGAGCAGACATCCATGCTGTGATTTGCCTGTGGACTGAAGGTGGTCTCTAGGAGGTAAAAGCAATCCCTGGACAACAACCAGCAAGGAAACGGGGTCTTCAGTCCTGCAACCGCAAGAAACTGAGTTCTGCCAATAACCCGAGAGAGTTTGAAAGAGAACCTTGAGCCTCAGATGGCAGCCCAGCCCCAGAAACACCTGGATTTCAATCTGGTGAGACTCTGAGCAGAAAACCACGCTGTGCCTGAACTACTGACCCACAGGACTATGACCTAATAGAAGGGTGTTGTTTAAAGCCACGAAGTTGGTGGTTATTTTTTATGGAGCAATAGAAAACTAATACGCTGTCAGCACCTCGTTGAATGCTACCTTTATTAAACTCTTCTTGAACCAGACTGATTTCTGTCTGGTTCTATCTATTTGCTGATTTCTCTCTGTGCCATCTATTTGCTGCTGGGCTCTGATGAGTGCATCATTTAACCACTGTGCACCTCGGTTTCCTCAGCTGTAACAGGAGATGATGGTAACAAAGCCATTGTGAGGATGCAATGACATGGTGCATTTAAAGTGCCTTGCACTTGCTAAGAGTCCACCACGTGGAGAAAGAGATGGATGGACTGAAGCAACTTACTCTGACCAGACCCTCTTTCCGTAATACCCAGAAGAATCCTCCGGGTCTTTTGGCCTTGTCATTGTGGCTGGAAAGTCAAAGCCCCGAATGTGGGTGGTCCCGCCCCTTCCTAACTCCCAGATGCCCAGTGCCTTTGGGATGAATACACCACCCTTCATGCTCTAATTGTTTTGACTGAAGATTAGTGGGATCTTAGTGCTCCTGGGGTGTAAAGAGCCATTGTGAATGGTTATGCATGCTGAATTTAACCCAATTTCCAACACAAGGGCTCGTTCGTTCTGCGGAGAAGCCCATTTAAATGGCCTCAGCACTGCTCCCTTCCATCCCCTGGTGGCTGAAAGGAGGAGAAGCAGAGAAATGGGAAACTCCTCTTCTTAACCAAATGTCTCAGGAGGGCTCGTACCTGGGGACCAAGTTTGTTAAGAGGCAGATCTCAGAGCAGTGGAGAAACAGCTCAGAGGAGAAGCAGCTGGGCTGCTGGCACTCAACATCCACAACTGTCAACCAAAGGTGGCTCTGCAGGTTTTCCTACTATGACCAGCTGCTTTAAATCTCTGTCCTACCCTGTTATCAATGTCCCTATTGGTGGGCAGAGGACCACGTCCCCTGTTCAAAGACGATTTTAAGAGACTCATTCATTTACTCAGACTCTATGTGGGGGATGTTGCAAATAACACAGATACTATTCTTGTCTTCAGGGAGAGAATAGCCCAATGCTATAAAATGGTCAGAAGGCCATGAAAAAAAATTACTAGATTCGTGATACCAGTATATAATTATTAAGGGAAAAAGTTGGTACGCTCTCTGGGCAGTAGACCTTGTACAAACAGGTATTATACCAAAAAATAGAGAAAGAGGGACCTGTGTTTGTTTAACTTTGATAAACTGGTTCAATGAAATGTCATGGGTGTCTTTGTTGCAGGACCTTTTAGTGCCTTTAATGTGATAATGTGCCTTGTGAATCTCTAATCCGGCTGGTTGTCAGGATTCTGTCTGAAGTTGCTCAAAAGGACTAATATGCCACAGGAATCAGAATCCCCAGAAGTCAGGCTCAGGAAGCCGCAGTGTTAAAAGACCTCCCGGCCGGGCGCGGTGGCTCACGCCTGTAATCCCAGCACTTTGGGAGGCCGAGGCCGGCGGATCACGAGGTCAGGAGATCGAGACCATCCTGGCTAACACGGTGAAACCCCATCTCTACTAAAAATACAAAAAATTAGCCGGGAGCGGTGGCGGGAGCCTGTAGTCCCAGCTACTCAGGAGGCTGAGGCAGGAGAATGGTGTGAACCCAGGAGGCGGAGCTTGCAGTGAGCCGAGATCGCGCCACTGCACTCCAGCCTGGGCGACAGAGCAAGACTCCATCTCAAAAAAAAAAAAAAAAAAAAAAGACCTCTCAGGCTGATTTTTGATGGTCAGCTAACTTGACCTAGAGATTAGAATTTGGGACTATAGGAATTTCCCAAGGTTTCCTGGCTCCTGAATATATCTGTTGGTACCTGCTGAAACTCTTCAACACGCATATAAATAATTATATTTATTTCCCTGTTGCAATCCACTCCTCACTGGAAAATCTGCTGGGGGAATCTCAGTTCAATCCAGATGTGTACATTAAATGGAGCCTGGTGCACCTTTCCCCACTACTAGCCCAGTGTGAGAAGACAAATATCCCTGAGCGCTTCAAAGCAGATCATGCACCTTGGTCCACTGGGATTTCTCCATCGCAGAGCCTCTGTTGGAAGACCTGGTTTTGCCCTGGGTTTTCCTAAGGATAGAATGGCTACAGAGAATCCACTAATGAGATGTCTCCAGAAGCTGGAGCTGGGGCTGTCTGGGTGGGTCCTGGGAGTCCTGAAGCAATCCAAAAGCAGTGAGTGGGTTCTAGAAGGAGATGGTCTTTAAAGGTGGGGAAGACTTGGTCAAGACTCAGCTCTTGGTTCTGTCTGTTCTCTACAGGACTTCAGGAGGCTGACCACCAATCTGATGGTTGTCTTCTTCCCACGGTCCCCACTGGCTACCTCATTATCTTTCAACAGTCTCATGCTGATCTCTACAGCAAAGCAGCACACCTCTTTTTAAGAGACAACATGGGGTGCTCAGCAATGACGGAATTTGCCAAAATAATTAAATACAATCCCCAATTCTTCTCTGGACAAGTTATCCAACATATCTAAGCCTCGGTTTCCTCATCTGTAAGCTAATAAAATAAAATCTACCTCCCAGCCTGGTAAACATTAAATATATGACATTGCAAAGCACCTAACACACAGTAGGCCTTCAATAAATGTGACTTATTTTTTCTTCTTTGTTTCTTTCTTCCCCAAAAAGGTTTTGCATCTGAGAGTCAGCAGAAAGAGGATAGTTTTTCATTGGCCTGCAATGTGACATTAGACATCTCTTGGGTTCTAAATTCATTGGTATGCTTTTGGTTGAAAGTAACAGACTCATTCAGATTAACCCAAGCATGGGAGGTGGGGGGAAGAAAAATTATTATAAAAATGCAGAGATAACTCAGAGAGCCAGGGGGCTAGAATGCAGTCAGGTTTCAGGAGGGGCCTGGAAACAGGAACTGAAATGCACCAGGAAATCTAAGATGTACTTTCTGTGTCCCTCATCCTTTCTCCTCTCTCAGCACCACTTTCATTCATAACTAGTTCCCTGTTTACAGTACAAACAATGGCCATCAAGTCCCCTAAATACTCAAGCTGGTCAGTAGGATCCTTTCCCTTAAACCTAATTCCATATTCCTAAGGAAGATCTATATTGGCCCAGCTTGGGTTGGGCCCTACTCCTAGTCCAATCAACAACATCTAGGGTAGAGCCAAGAGGCTTTCATTGGCTTGGCTTAAGATGGGCTCTACCCCTTGTCCAATCAACGGTGTCCACAGGTGGGGCCGTGAGGCTTTCATTGGCCCAGTTTGGGTTGGGCCCTTCTCCTAATCCAATCAACCATATCCAGAGGTGGAGCCTTAAGGTTTTCATTGGTGTGACTTAAGATTGGCTCTACCCCTTGTCCAATCAACAGTGTCCACAAGTGGTGCCATGATGCTTTCATTGCCCCAGCTTGGGCTGGGCCTTACCCCAGTCCAATCAATAACATCCAAGAACGGAGCCGTTGGCTTGGCTTAAGATGGGCTCTACCGCTAGTTTAATCAACTGCAGCCAGG